CAGCTGTAGCTCTTAACCACTAGGCCACCAGGGTTTCCCACAGCGCTTTAGAATGTTCAAAAAGTAAATTAGCACAGAGTTTTTAGCCCTGTAGGTATACTGATAGACGTAAACCGGGCTTACGAAAAATATTTTTGGTGTTTAACTACAGAAATATTTTTATAAAAAATATAAATTTCTGCTGAAACACTGCACAAAAATTTTACAGACAGTCATTTTGGTGTCACCCCCTCTGACAGTGTCACCTGGTGTGGTCCCCATCCCCCCACACCCCTCTAGTGACGCTACTGCTTCCTGGTGTGGGCTTTCCCCACATGTTCGTGTTTGGGGACAGAATTCTGTTGCACACTGTGGTACCAAAACCCAAAACTAAACCCACTGCTGCCAAGTCAATTCTGACTCATGGAGACCCCATGTGTTACAGAGTAGAGCTGCTCCATAGGGTTTTCGTGGCTGCAATCGTTATAGAAGCAGATTGCCAGGCCTTTCTTCTGTGGCACCGCAGGGTATATTTGGACTGTCCACGTTGAGTTTAGTTGCTGACAGCGAACTATCCGCACCAGCCAGGGGCCTTGTTGAGGTGCAGGGGCCTCCGAAGACGCTTCCAACCTGGGAATTCTAATTTTTTCCCATACATCTGGGAAAGGCAGATCAGTCTCCTCGGCCCTCTCCTTCAACTCCAATAACAACAAGCTTTTGAGCTTCAGGACAAAAAAAAGAAAAAAAAAAAAAAAAAGCGAATCAGATGAGGAGATTGAATGTGAATCCAGATTATATCCTAGAGGAAATGTTTGCACGTGTTACTGAGACCTGATTGACTCTTGACCGACAGCAGTTGTCCCCACTCACTCCCCCTCATTGTGGGCTTAGGGTCTGGCCACTTGAGGTTCAACCACCACTATTCAAGTTTCAGGGTCTCAGGTTGGGTGCACATTAGACCACCTGGAGGTGCTTAGAAAAAGGCAGATCTCTCACTCCACCCCCTCCCCAGCGTGATTCTTTAGTTCTGGGCTGATTCCAATGATTGAGATCCATGGGCTACATTTTGCCTTACACCGACTTGGGGGGAGGGAGAGTCTCAGAGACCCATGTCCTAGAGAAATATGGACAATAGGAGAGGTTGCAGATGCTCCTACAAGGATGTGGGGGTGGGTCTTGGTTGTCTCGGAAGTATTTTCCCACTGGATATTCCTGAAAAGGAAGGCGGACAACCTGAGGTTCCAGAGGCATGAGAGAACGGATTCGTAGACATTTAGAATCTCAGAAACATAGACTTATTAATAATGGAATAAAAGAAATTTAAAACAATAGAATGCATTAGCAGTCGAGCTGAGAGGTTCAGAATGGGTCATACTCAAAGTTTGCCTTCTTTACTTGGGAACTGGATAACTGGCATGGAATCACTTAACCTGAAGCTGTTTCCTTGTTCATTATAGGGGTAAACCAGTAAGTAAATAGAAGGCTTCCTCGGATTGTTGGGGTTGCCATGAGTCGGAATCAACTAGACAGCAACTTACAATAGGACTGTTGTGACATATAAATGAGTTAGTGCATTTAAAGGACGTGGCATTGCGTCTAGCACATGATGAGGTCTCCCGAAGTCCTTATTATTATTGACAGAGTCATGGAATCCTTGAGTTAAAAGAGACCCTGGTGATCACTAGTGACTCCCAGCAGGAGAAGAATCGGTATAGGGAGATGGCATGGGATGCGCAATGGCTCCCCTTGTCCAGCATCCCCTCCCCTCCAGAAGCCCAGCCACCTGGTTGCTCCCCAGCCAACGGCACGGACACTTTACCCACTGAGGGAGTTTTGAAGTCCAGCTCCTCCAGACTCTCCAAACCTGAGGGTGTCAGTTTTCTGCTTTTACGGACACATGCTCTGAGAGCTCGGAGTCCAGCTGTCTGTGGACATCAGCAGGCGTGGCCGAGGAGAGCAGGGCTGCCACCTCCCTCCTCTTGCTCTGGTTTTTAATCAAAACAGTATTCATAATACGATTCGGGGAGCTTATATTGGGAGATTTGCAGGAGGCTCTCAGTAGGGGTGGAGATGGTGGGAACAGATTGCCTCCGGGGGGCCTGGCGCTGGGATAATCGCAGGCTCAGATGTGCCATTCTCAGGCCCTTCCCCAGTCCCCTCGGAGCTTCACCATCAGTGGTGGAGGAGACGCAGAGCACCACAGACAGAGAACTAGATCATCCCTTATTTCAGAACTGGGGGAACTAAGGCCCAGAGAGGGGAAGGGCTTATTCATGGCCATGTAACCAGATAGTGATGGAACTGAGATGCTAAAGTAAGTCTCCAGGATTCCTGGCTACTCTTTCCAGCCCTTCTCACACGCCACTGTCTCCAACCAACTAGGCCCAGATCTGTGGGACAACCTGGGCTGCAAGCTCCACCTTGGCTTGGGAGAGGCGGGGAGAGGCTAGGCCTCCCAGTGCCGAGATGGTTTGTGGAGCTGGAGAGACAACCTCCTGAGGTCCTGGGTGATAAGATGGGCAGACCCAGGTGGGCTCTTTCCCTAAGGTTCACTGTTCCTACAGGAGGTTGAATGGCTAGATGCAGGCCAACCTGCCTTCCCTCCCCTGCCTCCGCATCCTAGTCCCTGTCCAGCCACGTGATCTTGGGCTTAAGTGGGTCCTTTTCCTCTCTGGGCCTCAGTTTTCCATCTGTACCAATGGATGCTAAGTGCTCCTTGCCCTACTCAGGGTTGGACTAGCTGGAACAGCACCACCAGCTTGAGGCCTTAGGAACTCTGCCTACACAGCCTCTGGAGGGGCCTACCTTGCCCCCCAGGAGGGGGTGGAGTTGAGGGCGCCTTGAAAGAAACCTCCAGCTAAAGCTCTTTATTACAAGCGTTAATCCCACAAAGCCGACTGGAAATAATGTTTATCTTTTTGCAGTTTAATTTCCCAGACCCTAAGCCTCAGGTCAGCGAGGGCTTCCGGAGGGTCCCCTGGGAGGATAGGGGTGGGAGCAGCTGTTGTCAGGAGGAAGGGAGGCAGAAGAGCACGGTGAACCAAAGAGGGGCACTGGGCCCCAAGATGTCCAGGGTCCATCTCGACCACGGATTCTGTGTGACCCTGAGCCAGTCCCCTGCCCTCGCATTTGGCCTCTTCCCTCCTCTGAAGGAGAGGTTTGTGTGTTTGTAATTCATTATCTCTAAAGCCCCTTTGGAAGGAGCGCTGGTGGCGCAGTGGTTAGGCACTAGGTGGTTTGAACCCACCAGCCTCTCCCTGAGAGAAAGACGTGGCAGCCTGCAGCAGTCAGCTTCGGTAGAGATCACAGCCTTGGAAACCCTCTGGCGTATAGGTCACTATGAGTCAGAATCAGTTGGATGTAATGGGTTTTTTGTTTGTTCATTTATTCATTTGTTTTTAAAGCCCCTTCAGACTCAGATTCTTCTATGGAAAAGAAAACAGGGTGGGGCTGGGGTGTGTGTATGGCATGCTACCTCGGTTCCCCTCAGTTTCTCCAACCCCACTGCTCCCTCTCTCTGTCCTCCTTCCTTACTCCCCTACCCCCACTCCAGGCCTTCAAGGGTCTTAAAGTTTCCTCTTCAGAAGGCAGATCCTTCCGCTCCGACTTCAGTGAGTGGTCTGATCCTTCCGCCCCAGGCTTCAGTGAGTGGAAGTCTGACACCCGCGGTGGTCTGGAAGGCAGTCACCCAGTCAGGCTTGGCCAGGCGGGGCAGAAGCCCAGCAAAGGAGATACAGCTCCCCAAGAATCCAGCCCTTAGGCGCACACCCCAGCTGCCCTGCATCGGCCTCAGGAGCTCCACCCCAGGGCACTGCCTGCGGTTCACGCCCCTCCTTCTCAGCTGGCAGACGGTTAAAACCGAAGCCACTAGGCCCAGGACACTAACTTAGGCAGCCCCTAAGAGCCGGCGCAGCTGTGGGCATCTTTAACTCTCTCAGCCCAAAGGGAGCATCCCTGCTCCCTTCCGCCACTGCTGGCAAGCAGGACAAAACCCCTTCCTGACCTTGAATGGCCTGTAGTGGAAGTGTCTGCTGACACTTGATTAAACACTAAGAATGTCGAGTCCGCTCTAACCTCATCCTGACCCGCAAGCTACCTGGCTGGCTTCCTCATTGCGCCCGACGTGAGGGGCCCTGTGCTCACGGA